TTACTTTTCAACAAGCATAAAGGAAAAAATAGAATTTTTTTTCTTTAATGTTCCTAGTATGTTACATCATAGTTAAAAATATGTCAAAGTCACGGCATTTCGATTGCCTTTTGTAAATGTTGGTTATAATGTAACTTAATAGATGCTTTATAAGTTGGTAAAGACTGTCCTGGATTAAAACTATCTTTAACACAAAAAAATAATATACATTGAATACTTTTACAAATATGTAATTGCTATCCGACTATATAATCTTTTAAGGCGAACTTATCGCATGTATTAATGAAATGATATTCCATTTTTAATGTATGTTAAGTTATTTTGTCGAATTTTTTAAATATATTACATTTATTTTTTCTTTTTCGTTGAGATTAATAATAACATACATAGTGTAATAATGCTCTGAAAAATATTCTAAAGCAGTTCACGCTGGGATTAATGATAACATGTATGGAATAATAATGTTACATCTGTCAACAAAATGAAAAATATGAATATTCTAACGCGATATGTTTTAAAAGATACATAAATATTTAACATGAGAAATTATTAGACTATAGATAGAACATTAATATTAAGCTTATTTGTTTTTAAACTAACATATTAACAAATTTGTTTCTGTTTATAAATATGAGCAGTTTAACTGCAGACACCTGCAGATGTAACGAATAAAAGTTGTTATTTTACTAAATGGAACACAAGCTCTGTGATTTGAACTCTAACAATAATTCAACACAGGTTTATTTAGGAGCATTAGAATTATAAGCTAAACATTAAAAGAATTTAATTATAGATAGTGTAAAGAACATAACAAATACATTACATAAAATTAGTAAAATACACGTCAAACACTATTTCGAACTTACCTCGACCATAGCAAAAATAATGGCTAACATGGCGACTATCGTTGAACTCTCCCGCTAAGACGCTGTTTTTCCACCTTCTTCCTGATTGGTTCTTCTCTCTCAGCCGTTTTAAGCCACGTGATCACACGCTACGGACAAAATCGAAGCAAAACTTCTTGAAAAACTCCTGTAGAGTTTACAGTTTCGTTTGGTTCTGTGTTCGTTACAGGTATTTCCTTCGTAATTGTTCGCATTTCTGTAACTATACAAGACTTTTGTCTGTAAACTTCGAGGTTTTTTTTTACAGTGATCTTTGCTGAGCAAGCACCTACAAAAATACTCACGTTGTAAATTTTCTTTATGAATTTCAAAAACACCCAAACTCCCAATTAAAATATTCATCCAATTGAACTTGCTTACTTACTTTTTTTCCGTTTTACTAAACATTTCCTTTCTTAAAATCGTTTAAACTTTACAAAATAAATTAACTGCCAAAACAAAAAGTACTTCTTTGCGACTTTCCTGACCGAACGTCAGCAACTTCTTTAGTAAATTTTAAGAACGTTTCTACATTTAATACTTTTACATTTTCCTTTAGGCATCTTAATCTTAGGTTAGTCATCTAAGATTTACGAAAATTAAAATATAAAACCATACGAATGCATGTATTAAATTGCCGATTTCGAAATAACGGCGACGATTGCAATAACCTAGGCAGATAACCTTCATGTACTGCCTGAGACTTTGTCTATTATAATTCCACAAAAATTTAGCTCCAGTTTGTTTTGTTATACTTTGTTTGATTTGTTATACTTTTCCAACTGCATAAAGTGGGAAGAAAAACATTAATATAAAGCAATTTACTAAAGTATCGTAATCATTTAAAGTATACTGCTTCACAAAAGCCTATGAAATAAATTAAGTTAACCAAAGTTTAACAACCACAAGTAGAACAAATTAAGTCATGCTAAGATAAAAGAAAGATTTTAATTTCAGAAATGTGTAAAAACCCATTTCCTTAGGAAAAAGATGCTCTTTTGGAGATATGTTCCTTAATTTGCATATAGCTCGAAATATTTTTATTTTAATTTGAATCACAAAAATTACATATTCTGTGACCTCCTTGATGAATGTAGCATGGTGTCGATCTGATTAAAGTGATTGTCTTAGAAAAGACTTTTATAAGTTATGTAGCTAAAGTTTAATTATACATCAGAAAATGCATTCATTTTTAAAGGCATTCATCATGAGAGGATTCACTACATATAACAAACTTAAATCGTGTATATATAGTTATAACATTTAATTAATATGGATTAACATTAATTAATTTAAAAGCCACTATCGGCCAAGCAGTATGATCACTGATTGATAGTTGGACGTGCAGTGGCTGAAAATGTCTTTGAACAAGTCAGGTCGCAACCACCAGAAGTCATCAAATTTTTCGATTGTGTCAAACACTGGCAACCACGCGCATAATTTTTTTTCGGCAACCATTGCTCACAAAAATCCTTCAGTTCAGCAATGTCGCCATTTTCGTATGCGTTCTTTTTGCTGTATTATAAGTTCGAATGATTTTCACAAAAAGTCATGATATTTTTACTTCTTTGTACGAAGTAAAGGAAGTATAATAATCACGAAAAATTTCAGGTACCCCTAATTTCAAAATATCCATTTTAATCGCTATCGCATGCAGTTTAGCGATGTTTTTGCGTGACATCTGTACGTAAGGACAGAATAAAGGACTCCTTTTCCTCAAACGAATTGTTAAATTGATTTAAAATGGACTCAGAAGAGATCTTTTCGAGGCGTACGTACGTACTTATGTATGTATGTATGTATGTATCTAGCATAACTCAAACACGAATAGCCTCAGAACGTTGAAATTTTGTATATGGGACTGCTATAACATGTAGATGTGCACCTCCCTTTTTCGTTGCAATCGGCAACACCAACAGTATATAAATGCATGTATATATGCATCCAGTCTGTTACTCAGCTCAGTGAACTCAGTTTCTTTATTCTTATATGTTTTTAAATTGTGCATTTTTTGCTTCAAAAATGATTGAATTATGCTGTTCTTATCTTCCGGTTAAGGTTTTTAAGCCTTTAGTTAACCTGCGTGTTATAGTTGTAGAATTATCAACAACTTAAAATTTGTTTAAGTGCGGTTAAGCCTAATTTTTTTTACCATAGCAGACATATTTGTTTACACGACTTAAAAGAGTGGATAGCAGATAAAATAAGCAGGATAATGGATTTATTGCCAATATAGAGGAACTAAGCTTCGCAACAACAAAGTAACGTCTTCTTTTATTATTGTGAATTAAATTATGCTTAATCCATTCTGAAATTATTATTTAAATTTTTAAATTATCTCATATATTGACTCAGCATAACGTCCATTTATGTTTTAATACATCTTTGAATTTTTAATGAAGATATTTTGCGTTTTAATTATTTTTATCTTGACGCAAAGTGACAACTGAATTAATTGAATGAGAAATGCATCTGTAATGAAATTCGAGGAAATAAGTGTTTCATATTAGCAGAAAATACTGTGCCAGTCTGTTTCGGACATTGGAGAATGTTTACGAGTAGCGCATGAGCATTAAATAAGCAGCGCTAAATCGTCTGTGAAAAACTTTTTTTTTTTTTGGTTTAATTTTCGTATACATTGTTTTTGATTTATTATAGTATTTGAATAGAACATGTGGCAACGATTAGATAATTCTTCAGACGATATAATTTTTTTTTGCATTCTGTGTTATAAAATGAATGAGATCTACCGGTGTTAAGTGAACCTAGCGCCAGAATATTTCTATTGGTCCCTATGGTTTTTGCTTTAAAATTGATTGACTTATGTTGTTCTGGTTAAGCTTTTTTATGCCTTTAGTTAACTTGCATGCAGTAATTGTGGAATTATGAACAATATAAAAGTTTTCTAATTGCGGCTAAGCGTACTTTTTGATTACCATGGAGGCTATGTTTGTTTATATTTGAAACTTAGCAGAATAGTGGCTTTGTTGCCAATCTAGAAAACTAAGCATCGCAACAACAAAGATAACGCCTTCATTTATTATTGCGAATTAAATCATGCTTAATCCATTCTGAAATTTATTCGAGGAAATAAGTGTTTGAAGATTTACTTCGCAACTTTTAATATAGATATTTTGAGTTTTTGTGTATTTTCGCCTGTCGCGAAGTGAGGACTGAATTAATTGAATGAGAAATACTGAATCGTCTGTGAAAAACTGTTTCTTTCTTTCTGTGTTTGTTTAATTTCTTTTATACATCATTTTAGATTTATTATAGAACTGATACCCGCTCGCTTTGTTGGGCGCATTATCTATTTGAATGGGAACCTAGACTTTTATACGGACGAAATGTCTAATTTCGAATTGATAATTAATGTAAATTTTTTAAAGTCGGGAAATATAGTGCCAGTCAGTGAATCTGTCATACACAGATTTCCACATCACCCATGAGATACTGTATATTGGGATGCGTCCCCATTATTTACCGTGGCGGTTCCCCAAGTAGGCCTACACTATGAAAAATTGCCAACATAAAAATTAAGGACATAGTGTGAGAATTTTTTAATATTTCTTCATTTTTAAAATTTATTGAATCAAATTTTTTAATCAATTATAATTATTTGTCCTTGATTTTTTATGTATGACAATGTTTATAAATAACAACAACATTTTAATTTTCATCACAATAATTTATTTCTCTTAATAACATTTATTTTCTTGAAACTTTTGATAACAGTTAAATATATATAAAACTGTAAAATAATACACATGAATTTATAAAACATCTCTGTAGACCACATTCTTCGTACGTTCTTCTGGTTGAAGAGCGATGAGTTTCTCAGGTGAACTCTTAAACACGCCACATAAAATTGACCACGAAAAAAACAGTCGTTTTGTAAATCTACGCCAGCTAATTTTAAACCCTGCTTTTGTGCTTTATTGATAGTCATCGCAAAGCAAACTCTAACTGGAAACTGCAAACGCTTAAATTCAAAATGATAATCTGATGGAATTAGTGGTATTCTCGGAATAAATACATTTTCGCCCTCATACTTTCCGTTAAAAATGGACGCTTTTATAGTCCTTAGAGTTTTCAGTTTCAGTCTAAGGAAAAATTCTAAGATTTCCTTAGAGTTTTCAGTTTGAGTCTGGTGCCGTTACATAATTTGGGAGGATTCAAATTATGCAACAACATTATTGGCGTACCAATTTTTAGACAAAGAATACGAGGCGGTATACGTGGTAGATTGAGAGTGTGCAAAATCTCCACAAGATAATGAACAGTATCTTCTATTTCTATGACCGTATCCACAGACTTATACTTCATCTGTTCAGTTGTTAGTTTTTCTGGCATAAAGGTGTTAATTCTATCTGCTGATTTATTTGTTGAAGTCAGAACTGCTCTTTCTTTCAACCACGATAAACTATTTAGTGTGACATGTTCAATATTTGGGTGTATTCTATCAGTCAAAGTAATCAAATCTCCCACAGTATTACAAAGGTTATCTGGAATAACTATCTTTCCTTCTTGCTCTGTAATATTTCCATTACCTATGTCAATCAATAGTTCGGAAAACTCTTTCGCTTTCAAGTCATTATGAAGAGAGACCCTCATGTTAACTTTTAGCGATAAGACTTAGAATTCAAGATTTTAAACGTGCTTTAATTTCATCTGTGCGTGTCCCTCGTGGTACAACAGGCAAAGTCTGTCTAAAGTCACCAGCTAAAAGCACAGTCAACTCGCTCATCAGTTGATTACTCCCTCTGATATCCTGAAGTGTCCGGTTAAGAGCCTTAATACCTTTCTTGAGGGCCACAGTACACTCGTCCCATACTATAATTTTTTTCTCTAAAAAAAAAGAGCTTTTTTTAAGTATGTGAAATGCCACTTTGCTTGGAGATATTATAAATAGGATTCTCAGAATGATTCAAATTGAGAGGTAGTTTGAAAGCTAAGTCAGTCGTCTTGCCGCCATCTATTAGCGTGGCTGTAATCCTTAATGAAGCAACAGCAATAGCGATATTTTTCCACTCCTAATTTTTATCAAGCACAAGATTAATCAAGAATGTTTTTCCAGTTCCGCCAGGAGCATCAAGAAAGAACAACGGCCGTGAATTAGTATCAACACTGCATAAGACTTCCTCATAAACGTGTTTTTGATCTTGATTAAATTTCGAAACACCTAAAGAAACTACTTCGATCAACTGAGATCCATCGTAAGCCAATTCACTCATGTACTGATGGTTGTTAATAATTGAGCTTTTCTCTTCTAATGGCTCTGGAAGCCCAAAGTGTAACAATGACTTACCTGGCATAATGTAACAATATCTTTAAGGAGGATAAGACATTGGTTGTAAACGGTATCAGCAACAATTCAACATCTCTTCTCTCTCTGTCCATTCGTTTTTGGATATCTTCTGCCAAACGTTTCCGGCACTTTTCCCATAATTTTATCGGATCTGCTACTTGAGAAAAACTAACATAATCGTTGAATAACTCTAATTTTATAACGAGAATCGAAAATAGAAGCTTCTTCTAATGTACGATTTTAATGAATATCGTCTTCCAGTAATCCACGTGCTCTGCAAGCTGCTTGAAAAGACGGATACTTCACTCCTTTTACAGTTTTTAATTTTTCAAATGAAGTAGGACCACGAATCTCATGTAACAGAAGCCGTACGAAGTAGCATTCAGCATTATCGGGATGGACAGTATACACTCTACCTAACACATGATCTTTTTTAATTTCTGAAAAACCTGTCACAACCTTACCTTTTTTCCTTCCAATAAATTCGTTTTTCCTCCATACTTAATACTTGGAACTTCACAGTATAAAAGAGTTCGTGCAAAACCATCTTCGCAAAGATTGAAAAAAGTCTTAAGCGTTGTTTTCGTAGGATTTGCGATTTTATTAACAACGTTCTCTTCTGGAAGAAAAAAAAAAAAACCTCTTTGACCATTTTTAAAGTGAACAGCAAGAGGAAAAACAGAAGGATATCTCTCCTGAATATGGAAACAAAAGATACGCAATTCTGCTTATGTATCGTCCTGTCTTATACCTAGAACTATATCTTAAATTTTCAATGGCAAACGCTGCCTGATCAGAGCCCTTATTTACATACTTGCAGATTCATTTAATAGATTTGTCTGAATTGCAATACTCAACATTGACATAAGCTTTGAAAGTAGGTGACAAAACAGGGTTATATGGTTCCACCCATTGATTTTCAATATCTTTTCAGTTAATTTTGATTGCTATTCCACTATCTTCTGGAGACAGCCTTCGATACTGAGGATATCCATCTTTACCTTTTTGAGTTTTTTTTAAGAAAGGGCCTTGGGTATCGTTTAGTGCAAATACCAGCCAGCGTGCAGGGTGAACTGAAGTTGAAGACTTCACACGGACCATGAATTATCGTTGATTTAATAATTTCATGAAGAGTTGGATTCTGATCTGGGTCAGGTAATTCAGTCCTTATAACTTCATCAATAGAGTTAGGTCTTATTTTTTCTTCCAACCAGAGAAGAATATGAGCATGTGGAAGTCCACGCTTCTGCCATTCCACAGCATATATGTTACACCTAGTATTGCCAAAATACAAGCTGTAGAGACATTAGGTTTTTTTTTTTTTTTTTTTTTTTTTTTTTTTGGAAGCAAAGGAAATGAAAAATGAGTAACCGCCTTCGCCGGAATCGAACCACAGTCCTCTGGAATACCAGCCCAGCGTGCAGAACCATTACACCCCAAAGGTGCGCTAGGAAAGTGGAAGAAATACTTTATATACTCCTCTTTTTAAAGAGCGACTGGGGTTTTTAGGGGACCCAATCGACAAATCCTGGGTGTGGAGAATCCTTATTCAACACCCTTTTAGTTCCGGCGTCACTGTAGAGACATTAGTTTAATTGGAAATGCCAGAGAGATGACAAATGAGCAACGCCTTCGCCGAGAATCGAACCACGGAGCCAGTTCGGCAGGAATACCGGCCCATCGTGCAGAACCACTACACCATGAAGGCAAGTTAAGAAGGCGGGAGAAATACCTTACATACTCCACCTTTTAAAGGATGACTGGGGTTTTTAGGGGACCCAGTCGCCAAGTCCTGGATGTGGAGAGTCATCATCCAGAACTCTTTTAGTTCGGGCGCCACTGTAGAGACATTAGGATTCTTGGAAGTCTAGAGACATTAGGTAATTTTTTGGAAGCCGGAGAGATGAAAAATTAACAATCGCCTTCGTCGGAAATTGAAACACGGACCTCTGAAATACCGGCTCAGTGTGCTGACCACTACACCACGAAGGCAAGCTAGGAAGGCGGGAGAAATACCTTTTAAACCTTTTGTCAGAAGATTCATCATGTGCTTAACTTTCAAATGAAATATCCTTGCAATGATATCGTGTCTACATAAGAGTTTTTGTCCTTACCTGAGGAGATCTTCTATTTCTGACCATTTGGGATTGCAAGTGAATATAATAAATAAATCTGGACGTCAGAAATGTCTTACATATGTCATAGTGCCTTGAAATCGTTCATGCATGTAGCGAAAACCTCCAGTAAACGAAGACGGTAACACAACCATTTAACCTATTTCTGAAGACTGTATACCTGTTTTTGCCGTAGCGTCTTTAAGTGGGCATATTCCTCATTCCTAAGTTTTTTTTTTATTTTTGCGAATTCAACTAAGCCTTTCAGTTTCAATTTTTGCATACATATCGACCAAAAACTGATTAAAAAGGTGAACTCTCCATTAACCTATAGCTGTAGAACTCAGAAGCAGAGATGGGTTTATTGATAGAAACCCTAGTATTGTTATCAAGTTTTGGATTATTTATACAATAACCATCTTGCTCGCGAAAAAACATCAAAGGGTACTGAAGAGCATCGTAAGCACGATGCGTTTCACTAATTCGTACCAATTTATTATCTCTACTGTATAGAATGATATCCCGTTTTTCGAAATACTTATAAGGTATTTCTCTCACTTTCCAGCGTGCCTTCGTGTTGTAACGGTAGCACGCTGTGCCGGCATTCCAGAGGTCCGTGGTTCGATTCCCGGAGAAGGCGTTGCTAATTTTTCCTCTCTCTGCTTCCAAAAAAAAAAAATACCTAATGTCTCTACATACTGACCCATAATAAGCACAGCCAATTCTTTATTTTGACAAGCATTCAAAAGACCTTTATGTTCTCCAGATGGTCTTTTCATCGGCATTAACCTCGAACTCCTTTTGATCTTTAGGAACTGAATCAACAGCAGGCTTGAAATCGAGAATGTACCTGTTGTGTTCATGTAGCTCCTTTTGTAATTGGCTAACTAATTCTGGCTTAACCCTTGGGAAAATACCACAACGAATATCTGGCTCACGTTCGTCGTCACCAAGAAAATATAACTAAAGAAACGAAGGTTGTTGATAAAGTTTAGTCATAAAGCTATCTAACCTGTTGTATACCTGCCCCTGAACTTTAAATGTTGGCATAAAATTTCCCTCCTTCAATTCTTTTGCTCCGAATGATGTCATCTGAAAACATCCGTTATACTTACGAATTGTAGAAAGAAAATGTTCTGAAAGCTGATCCTTGTAGTTAAGAAGACTATTCAAAGGTTCAGGGTAGGGCCCAATAGTAGGAAGCTGGGCTTGACCCAACACTACACATTCCTGGAGGTTCTTTTTTCCATTTTAAAGCGCGGCTCTACAAACTGAGCAAACGTTTTCTGATACTGACGATTTCATCATTTGAATAGTCAATATCTGTTTTATATTTGAAGCCAGACATTCGTCCAAAGCGCTAATTCAACTTTTGATCTTTTTTCGTTGTATTTAATAACAGATGCTCTATTAACTTCGGGATGGCTTTCACTGTATTTTGAAGCAGCTTTTCTACGTACTTCAGGATGACTTTGAGTATACGTTTTAGTAACTGTCGTGCTTGTTTAGATCTAGTTGAATTTTTAAATCTTTTTCTTCTTTTCTTACCTTTATTTAGTTGAAGAGCTATTACATCATCAATAATCGATTCACTTGAACTGGAGAAATCAATGTTAGATATTGATTGAGGCTTTGAAACTAACACCGACACATTTTCCTGAGGTTGAGACACTAAAATCGACACATTTTTTTCATTTTGTTTCATATTATTATCACTAAGATTAACATTACCACTATTTGAAACTAACACAAACAGATTTTCTTGAGGTTGAGACTCTAAAAATGACACATTTACTTCATTTTGTTTCCCATTATCATCACTAAGATAACTTGAGCACTATTTGTTAATTCAACTATTTCAATATAAACATCAAAATGACCACTATTATAGTTTCCCGTAAAACGTAATCTTTTTTCTTCCCTGAACTGCTTCACCAACGGAAGCTATACGGCAGCCACATTGATTCACTTCGAACTGATAAGGAAATAGCTCGGCAGCCGCCATAATTTCACATATAGATCCAATACGTGTTTGGCTTACACATTACAAGTATAGCCATAAGTATAAATCTTCAGTATTATAAAGAGCGCCAGATAGCATTTGAATGTAGCATTTAAACCGATTCCAGTTGTTAAACACATGAGAAACAATAATAATTCTCAATTCGCATGCCATCGATATGTCACCGTAC